AAATACACTAATGCATTCAAAACATAAAGACTTCGTTTTAATTTGCACTTGTTCACTACTGTTATGATTGACAACGATGCTTTTGGTTTTGAAAACAGCTGCTAATACAAAGATTGCGGATTCTGAGTCAAATGATGATAGTGACGAAGAAGTTCCTTATGATATTGATCCAGAGATAGAAATAGTCTCGCAAAATGTTGAACAGAAAACTCCTTCAGTCACTTCAGATGAAATACAAGTACTTGGTAGCAAGGAAATGTAGTCTTGAAGTCCTAAAGTTAAGTTCAATAGTTAAGGACACAAGTTCAAAAAGTTAAGGACAGACAGTTCTTAACTTATAGTTACAAGTTCTAAAGTTAAGGACAGGCGTTCTTTAACTTATAGTTACAAGTTCAAAAGTTAAGGACAATATATCCTTAACTTTGATTTCCAAGTTCAAAAGTTAAGGACAGATAGTCCTTAACTTACAGTTACACGTTCAAAAGTTAAGGACAATAGGTCCTTAACTTTGACTTACAAGTTCAAAAGTTAAGGACGTTTGGTCTTGAAGTTTGAGTTCCAAGTTCAAAAGTTAAGGTCATGTAGCCTTGAAGTCCACAACTTAGAGTTCCAAGTTCAAAAGTTAAGGACATGTAGTCCTGAAGTCTTGAACTTAGAGTTACAGGTTCAAAAGTTAAGGACATGTAGTCTTGAAGTCCTGAACTTAGAGTTCCAAGTTCAAAAGTTAAGGACATGTAGTCCTGAAGTTCTGAAGTTAAGGACATGAGCAGAAAGGTATTTCATCCGGGCAGTTAAAGTTTATTAAACCAGTGGCTAAAGACTAAAGACATTTTAAACGGTGGCTTAAAAATAAATACATGTGTTATTAGTGGCCAACCGTGCACTTCCCCCTTTATTTTGTCTGCCCTAACACCTGTATAAGTGTAGGAAATATTGGATCTACCCATAAGGAGTGCTCTAAGGCCCAATAAGGTTATTAGTTAACCCTAACATTTTCTATATAAGTATACTTAGTGTGTACATTAAAAATATAAAGAGCAGTATTTTTCCCACGCAAGTTTCTCCCACAATCAAACTAGGGTTTAGTCTGTGGAATTGGGGGTTGCTCCAACACATTGTGACAAGCACCGCCGACCAGTAATTTTAGCCACGGTTCATCCGTTTTCGCGTCCACTTCACGAAGAACAAGTAAGTTCTTGTTTTACGATTTACGCGCTATCTAATATGTTTAGATTATTGTGTGTTCCTTCAATAAGCAAACAAAAAGGAGCTAGGAACTACTAAATATTCAAAAAAAAAAAAATTAAGGCCCCTTTGGCAATAAAAAAAATTCTTTTTTTGAGACTTTTTTCACTTTTTTTTTCAAAATTAGTGTAATTTTTATTTTTACTTGATATGAATTTCGGAACTTTTCAAAAAATTGAAAAACTCCAAAAGCCTATTCTTCAAAATTTTCACTTTAGATTGCTCACAAAAATTTAAAAGCATCCCAAAATTATATTCTTGTCCAAACACATCTCTAATTTTCAAATACAATTTTTACTTGAAAAAAAAACTTTCACTTTTTTTCAAAATTCTACAATTCTTACGTCCAAACGCCTATACTAAATAGCAAAAGAAAAAAAAAACATATCTTAGTCACATCTTTGAAGTTAAAGGTTAAATATGCTAATTTCTCACCATGATAAAGGAAGTAATATATATCTGATTAAGCAATCAAATAACTACAATAATTATGTCTAGATCCAAACAATTTAATGTATTCATTTAGAAAACCATCTTTATATTGGCATGACAAAGATAATTAAGAATAAACAGTTTTTCTTTTCTACGACTTGGTGGGGTGGGTTCGTATAAAACCAGTANAGCAAGGAAATGTAGTCTTGAAGTCCTAAAGTTAAGTTCAATAGTTAAGGACACAAGTTCAAAAAGTTAAGGACAGACAGTTCTTAACTTATAGTTACAAGTTCTAAAGTTAAGGACAGGCGTTCTTTAACTTATAGTTACAAGTTCAAAAGTTAAGGACAATATNTCTTTATATTGGCATGACAAAGATAATTAAGAATAAACAGTTTTTCTTTTCTACGACTTGGTGGGGTGGGTTCGTATAAAACCAGTAACATTGGAGAATCTTTAATTTGTTTGGTCAATTGGGAGAGTGTGTGTATATATATATATATATATGTAAAATACATACGGTCTAATTAATTAAGCATTTAACTCTAAAACTTACTCCCTCCGTTTAATTTTAGTTGTCCACTTTTGACTTTACACTCCTTTAAGAAAAAATAAGTGAAGTATGTATTTTATAATTTTACCCATAATAATGATAGCATTTTCAAAAGTTTTGGGGAATAAATAATTAATGATAAGGGTAAAACATGGGGAAAAAAGATTGTCTTTTTCTTGATTTAGTATAGTGGACAGGTAAATGCAAAAATATATTTTTAATATAATGGACAAGTAAAAGTGAACGGATAAAGTAATAAATGGAGAGAATGAAAAGAGAACATTATGTATGACTTTTTCATGTCAATTTCAGGTTTAAACAATTAATACAACCAAAAAAAAAACGCGTAATTATAAGTTGTAATTTGGTGAATCATTTTTTCAACTTCTGAATTGTCTTAATGCTAAAATTCCTTACACTTGCATTTCTAGATTGCAAATGGAGACGACTAAGACTATTATTGCTTTTAATTACTATATTGTAACTTGTAAATATTCAATTAGTTTTACATTTAAGATCTCCAAAAGTCATTAATTCAACCTTTGTTATTTTCTAACTTTGGCAGTTGCACTTATATGGCCCTCATGCATGCAATACAAGGTCAACCTATTGGGTAGATTTCTCACTTTGTTTATCTTCTTTTATTACTCCCCCACCCCCCCCC